ATAATCGTGGGGCATGGGAGGTCACTTGGCCAGCAGCAATACCACGATTTATTAGAAAATTAAAAAATTATAATTTGTACAGAGTTAGCCCACTAAAGGGAAAAGCCAGTCTATGTATTTCTATATAAGCTCGTGCATATGTTTATAAATGTTAGGAAAATAGACTTGGAAAAGATACACAAGAAAGCAGAGTGGTCACTCCTGGGAATGAATGTGAGTGTAATTAGTTGGAAAGAGAATTTTCAAGTTTGTAAGTAACTTGCCTTCTCTACAAGGAAAGTGTTTTCAACTGTGATTTTATTTGTATGTGATTTTAAAATATGAAAACATTTCCATAGATGAAGACACGGAGATGGGTATTTTGGGCAAAAGGAGTAAAAGGAGGCCCCAGAATGTCGCAATGCAAATTTATCACAGAAGAGATGGTTTAATGTCATCACATAGTCTTAAATTATCAGTCACAGTTTAGTTAAGGTAATGACATGCCCCCAGGCTTCTAAGTGAGGTAGGCAGATTCATCTGTGGAAGCCAAATGGTTGGATGGATGCTCAGTTGGAGACTTAGTTGATTTTACATGCTTGCTGCAGTGCTTACAAGGCAGATGCTGCTTGGTGGTTATGCTGGAGAATTTTTTTCCTCTAAGATTATGTGACATCATTTTGCTAAAGAAGGACGGTGACCTGTTTTTATTTTAAAAAGAAGAAAATGCACACAGACGTGCTGCTATTTGAAAGCTTGTTACTTTTGCTGAAGTGCACGCACCTTGATGAAATTGTCTCTGTATGAAAAACATTAGCAACTTCCTCGCTGCTTCCTTTGGGAACTGTTCTGGGCAGTCTAGAAGGACATTCAGCCAGACCAGATCACTTTTTTATGATTTAATTTTGCAGGGCAAGTAAATGATACGTGTGGTGTGAGAGGCAGATATGCACTCTCAGTTGTAGTTTTGGGTTTTATGCTCAGATACGATCTAAGTATTTTTTTTCAGCTTTAATTGAGTTTATTGGTACATTTTAGGGATACAGTACAATTACATTCATCATTGTGATCTTGTACCTCTACATGACAGGTCTTGGTTCTCATTTTTTCCCCTTGTCCCTGCCCTCCCTTCACCCCCTCTTCTCCTCCCCATCTACAACCACTTCATTTCCATCTTTTCATATGATCTAAGAATTTTGAGATACCAGTAGATGGAAAGCGTGCGATATGAAGGTTTCCTCTAAGAGTTGAGGGTATATGCATAGTAAAAGCAAGGGAAGTTCTTTCAAAGTGAACTTCTAAAAATTAATACCCTCAGTAATCACAGTTGAGTAAAAAACAAAAATCAAACCTAAGGAAAAATTGTCAGCCTTGCAAATTCTTGTGAGTGGAAACTTCTCCCGTGGATGTGTATAGAGTGTACATCGTCTCTGCTCGCCTTGCAATTGGGAGTCATTTGGCTATTGGTTGATGCATGAGACTTTTTATTTCCCAGATTCAGATTTGATTTTAGAAAGAGGAGGAAAGGCCCCGTGTCAGTGATATAGTGGATGTAACTGTGAAAATGTCAGGGTTGCACAAGGACCCGGGTTCGATCCCCGGTACCCCACCACCACCAATGTCGAGGTTGTCAGAGGAAGTGCGCAGAGGAAAAATTGGTTGAGTCTATAGAAACAGAGAATTGCCCTTCAGGATAGCTGGCATGCTTCTTCCTGCTCTCACTGTCTGGAAGAATATCTGTAACAAGCTTGTCACCGTGAAGAAATGAAGTTCACTTGGCAGGATTAATTTATTTCAAATCCAGGCAGTTTTCCAGGATCTGTAAAATAACATGCTGTTATAGCAATCCATATGTAAACATTTCGATCAAAGTGACATACAAAACAATGTAAAAAGAACCAGAATATAAACTTTTAATGGAAAAATACCCTTTCTTGAAACTACTAGATGACTTGAACTCTTTCAGGTACGCAATTTAATACTAGTCTGCCGTAAGGAATGACAAACTTGAGTTAGTTTTAAGAAAATGGATGCACCATGAAGCCATGAAATTAAATGAATTAAATCAAGCACACAAACTTAAATGTTGCATATCATCTCTTACATGAGAAACACCAAGTATAAATAATTTAAAAGAACAAAATAAAAGATAGGCAGGAGGAAACAGGTAGATAAGATCTTTTGCAAGTAGGAAGATCTAGAGATGGAGGAATTGGTAAAGAGGAGAGAAAAAAGGAAATAAAAAGAATTAGAAGAAATACATGTACCTACTTCCCACAATAAATGTAATCATTATGTATGCCTAACATGTACTAATAAAGCAAAGAATAATAGAACATTTTGGGTGCTATGAGCAGGTGTATAGTTACAGATTTATATTTTCAAACACTGCTTGTCCAAATTGGAATCCATGTAGGAACTAGTTTTAAGAAATGAACAAATACTTCATAAATGCAGAAATAGAGTTCACAGTATGAAGACTAGGGATAATGGCTCACTTATTTTAAGTCCTTGCTCTGTTATTGACACTGTGATAAATTCTTTACATATGCTGTCTTCATTGGTTTTTCACAACAACCATATCAGGATAATGCAATGATTTGCCTGTTTTTCAGGGAAGGAAGCCAAAGATCATACTAGTTAAAAACAGGTAAATTGTAAGGCCAGAGTTCTTGCTCAGATGGTCTGTTTATAGAATACATGTTCCTATATTTTATGATATGCTGATTCTAAAGCAATTAATGGATACTGGTCTAAAATCAGCCAATGTTTTGGTAGAAATAGTTCTCACAGATATTGAGAGTTGACTGTTAGATGTTTTGGATTGTTGTGAACTGATTTGTAAACTTTGATACATGGAACTCAGCAGCGATTGAAGTAGTTCCACCATAAAAATGGGCAAATGTTATACATCAGTACATTTACTTTGTGTCAGTTCACCACCTCACCATTTAACATGATCACGATGGAACCGTAATTTGTGTATCTCCCTGCTGGGTGGCTCTGAGCCACTGTGGTACATGCATGACTGTCTTGATGGGCAACATGGGACCGTCATACATGTACTACCAGTGGTTCGAGCCGGTGAGAATATTTTAGTAGCATAATACCCTGCCAGTTCTGTTGTCAGAGTGTGTCTGGGGGGAATGTGAAGGAAATGATCACTTGGGAAACTGAATTTAAGAAAGAGCTTTCAGGGCTGGGGATGTAGCTTCCAGAGCCTGCCTTGCAAGTGTAAGGACCTGAGTTTGATCCCCAGTACCACCAAAAAAAAAAAAAAAAAAAAAAAAAAAAAAAAAAAAAAAAAAAAGGAAGAGCTTTCATCCTAAATTCACAGTGGAAGATTCCTTCCTGGCTTCCAGTCTTTTTTCCCTTGGATTTGGGAAAGCAAGCCCTTCTCTGGTTGGCCTCAGAGTGTAACAGCAGTGCCCAGGTTCAGATCTGAGAGCATCCCTGACTCTTGGCTGAGCTTGTCCAAGGAAGAATGGACATGGATTAACATGGGGGCACAGTGACCCATGAGTGCAAGAAGGAGGAATTGAGAGAAAGAAAGTTCATTAAAAAAATAAGTAACCTGTTGCTCCCTGCAAGCCTTATGGGGTTGAATAAGCCTCATGGGCTAATTGTATCTTTCATTTACTCATGAAATAATTTGAATGTTAATTCTGAAACCCTAGTATTTAGTCTTTCTTTGAAACTAGAAAGCTCACTCTTTGGTAATAATAATAATAAAAAAATCATTCTGATGGCTGAGGTTTGTGTAATATGTACTTAAAACAAGATTAACTGTAGCTTTGATGTATCAGTTTCATATATTTATCCTCCTGACATTCTTTTTTTTTCTCATTGAGTTTATTGGTACATTTCAGGTATACAGTACAGTTACATTCATCACTGGGATCCTGTACCTTCACATGACAGGTCTTGGTTCTCATTTTTCCCCATACTCCGGCCCTCCTTTCTCTCCCTCCTCCTGTCCCTATTTACAAAAGCTGTTTCCATTTTTTCATTTTCTCATATTTTTTTCTTTTCCCGGTGTTCTTTTTATGAGAAGATATAATCTCCCTTTGATTTTGGTTGAATGTATTTGTAATGCTCTTTTTTGCATGGACATCTCCTTTGAGCACCTGTCAGTACCTACCCGCATCAGATGCAAACCGAATCCTGCTTATCTCAAGCTGAAGTGTACATGTCCAAGAATGTACAGTTAGCTTTCACTTGCCAACCAGCTTGTACTCTGGTTGCTTTCCCTCTTTAGTCATTACCTTTGGAGATTTTTCAAAAGTTATGGTGTAATAACTGGAGTGGAGGTGTAAGAGAAGGAAGGAGGGAAACAGAATGGATGATGGGAAAAAAGCTACACATATATGTGCAGAATGAGACCTTAATTATTGCCCCAAGATAGAAGCAAAAAAACAGAGCAACAAAAAACTTATAGAGAAAGCAAGATATAGTAATTTTTATCTTCGTGCATAGAGAAGAGCTAGTGAAATGCATATTTTACATCAATTCAGTATATTTTACATCAATTCAATTTTATATTTAATTAACGATAATATTGACTTCAGGGAGGCATTATTTCTGTCCTTTCTTATTACTATTATCTCAGTCAGCAGTCCACTTGGTAGATTAGAAACGAATAGGCCAGCACTGGAGAAATCTGGCTTGCACATTTTGTAACTCTGTGACTTTGGAAAAAGAACTTCATTATCTCTTTTTGTGCGTCCATATGATGGTAGTGATAATCCGTACTACAGGTGACCACGGTCATGGATGAAGCTTCAGGTGCAGTGCGTGTCAGAGTGAGTGCCCCGTAGCTGCCAGCTGTTTTTATCTGTGAGTTTAAAAGCGTGTGAGATGCAAGTAGTAAGGAGTGTGCCTCCTCACGGTGGGGAGCCGACTCTAGGGCTCTGCTGCGTCCTTGGACTCTGTAGGAGGAACTGGTGTACAGGGAGGTAAGCCAGCCTGGATGCTGGATGGACGAAGGCGGCATACTGACGGCTCTTCCTCTTCCTGCACAGAATGTCCCCCCAGACCTGTCCATCTGCACCTTCGTGCTGGAGCAGTCCCTGTCAGTGCGGGCCCTGCAGGAGATGCTGGCCAACACGGTGGAGAAATCGGAAGGGGCAAGTACCCAGTTTATGTAGACTTGCAGTGTTGTAATGAGCTCAGCTGCTGTATCATTCTTTTCTCCCACAGGTATTGGAGATGTCAGTGGCTTTTACTTGTGATTTCTTTAGATTTTACTTTTTTGTTTTCTCTAGCAGACCTATGGTGTGTGAAAAGATTAAAAGGAAAAATCCAACCTTGTTGTGATCTGTGTCCTGACTCCTCGTGCTTCTGTCTGGCTTATCGTAGAACCTTGCTGTGGCGTTTGTGTGTCCTCACGTTCTCAGAGCTTCTGTTGTCCCTGTTCTGACTAATTGCCTTGTGCATGGCTATTCGTCATTGACTTTATTTTTAAATTTTTTTTTGATTTTTAAATGCCTCAGACCATGTGACTTATGTTCTAAGCTTCTCTATAGCAAGTAATATTTCATGGCACTGTTACATGTTTTAGGTAACAAAATTATGGTGATAATGGCTTCAGTCAGTTGTAATTCTGAAAATACCTAATCATTTTCTTTTGAAAATTTAAATTCTTGCTATAATGTTTGTCAGGGTAGATATTTTTCTTTGAAAGCCTATTTGGCTATTTTAATTACTTTCCATGAGACATGCTATTACTGATTTCTGATATATTACTTATGTCTAGGCAGTTCATTAAAACCTGAGATTAAGCAGGAGGGCAAATGGCCAAAGTTTTGTTTCCTTTTCTTGTACTTTATTTATTGCAGTTCTATATAGCTTAATGAAATATATTTTCAGGAATACAACCAAAGTTTTCTTTTGCTATCTAAACATTGATGTTATTACTATACTATTGTTCCAATTTGGATAAGAGATTAAAATGACAGTAATACTTTCACATAAATGAGTAGTCAGTTGCGATATATTTTTTCTGCCCTCTAGTTTTTAAAATTTTAGTGTCAGATAGCTTAGAAGTTTAATTGGTTTCTGCATTAATTCTAAAAACCTTTAAAATTTTAACATGCTCATTATAGGGGACAGACTTCAATGCTTTTTATCAATATTAGCCTGAAAGTTTATTTTGCAAAGCTACAAAATTGTGTTTTTTTTAACATTTCAAATTAATTTTTGGTTAAAACAAAGTTGACATTACTGTATTAAAATATATAAAGCTTCTTGTAAAATTTCTATACAGTTCTGAAAATATTTATTTCATCTAGAATGATTTCTCCTGATTTTTAAATATCAATGCCTATCAATTTTGAAATGCAAATCTGTCTTTGTAGAGAAAAAATAAATTTTCTTTTGCATTAGTAGCTGAAAAACGTGTATTGCTGTATCACCTATCTTTATAGATGCCAATTTACCCAAATTGCTCTAAACTTAAATTTTATATTGCCAACCTGCTTATTCTAAATTTAACAACTAGAAAGATCTTTTCATTGCCTCCAAATCATGAGGTTGGTCTAGGCGAGCTCTAAATATTCTATGTATAGAAAATAATTTAAAATACTATTTTAAGATTAAGATTATTTACATTATTCTACCTGGGTCCCTTCCCCTCAAATATTTTGATTTAGATGGATTTCACTTTGAATTGTTTTCCAGAAAATTTCTGTCAGAATTAAAGTAGTAATTGATGCAATGTGTGAACAGCGTTTTATAGAACTCAGCATAAGTACTATGAGCCATTGACTAGGGTGTATAAATTTAAAAGAAATCTGCTATGGGAAAGAAATACATTTTATGGAACCGAATAGTTTTAGCTACTTGTATCTTTAGGAAGAAACTACCATCCAGTAGTTGAAGGGAATACTGTATTTTAGGAAGAGGTTTTCTCTTAGATTGCTGAGAAGTTTTGATTATACCCAGGAATGATATTCAAAATGTTTTACAACTGCCAGTTGGTCAGAGTGGCTTCCAGCTACAATGCTGGATGTGCAGGTGGTCTGAGCAAGTTAAGTTTTGAGGTGTCTAGGAGGACCTTGCAGTGGTCCAGGTTAGGGAGTACTTTGGGGACTTAGGGCAGTGACTCTCTCAGGAGGGGCATTATTTTCCACTTCAGTGACTACTTTAATCATATGAATGTGTACTGGCTGTATTACCATGTCTGGCCTTGTGATGACTGGATGCTTCTGGCAATTGTAGGGATCAAGTATTTGGACTCTGCAGACATCCAGGTCATCTTTCCTTGGATGTCACAGTGTCTCTTTTAAAAACATCATGAGATTTTATGGCAAATCCTTTTGTCAAGCACAGTGACATTTCCAATTTAATGCATTGTCTACAGCAGATCTACTAAAATGTAAGATCTCTTTTCCTAGGCTGATGTGTCCTCAAGGAAAGTGCTAATTTTCATGAAATTATTGCTTTCCTGACAAATTGACACTGCATTGAGAAGAATCTTGTGTGTTATTTGATTCCCCACTTTCATGATCAACTTTATTTATAAAGTCTTATTCTTAAAATAACCCGATTATTCCTAAATTCTTTATGTGATTCAATAAGTGAAACAATACTGATTCCATTTTATGTTCTGTGTGCTCTGATGTGCACACAGCAGTGAAAATGTACCTGATGAGTTTTTGAATAAATGCCTGGTTTTTATAAAGGTAAAGGAAACCCATCATGAAGTTCTCAACAGTGTTTGTGACAAAGCAAATCCGGAAAATCACTGATAACAAGATAAGAAGAGATGTGTAACATAAGACATGAAAAGCATTACCTCCTTCATAAACTTGAGGCTCCCTCAAGAGTTGCTTGTTGTGACTCCGAGTAAAATAACCAAAGCCATTCAGAAATATTTCACCTAAAAGAATATTTAATTAAAAATGTGTAGGTAGACAAACATTTGGATCCAATATATATATAATTTCTAGCATTCTGGGAGACTGAGGCAGGAGCATTGCATATTTTAGCCGAGCCTGGGCAACTTAGTGGGACCCTCTCAAAATAAAAAAGGCCTGGGGATGTAGCTTAGTGTGAAGGCCCTTAGTTCATTTTTTAGTACCACAGGAAACAAAACAAAACAACAAAAAAACCCACTTTTTTTTCATTGAATGTTGCTTAGCTTTCCTTGCTGCTTAGCTTTCCTTACTCAATGTATTAATACACAAGTGTATCTTGGTAGCTGCTTACAGAAGCTTTCAGAGATAGTATCTGTGCAACAAGGAGGAGGAATGCGTGTCTCATGACCCTCACATCTTTTTAGCCCAGCTGTGTCTGGACTTCTGTGCATGAGCACCCTTCTGTTATTTCTTCTGTTTTCCCTGGGTTATATGTGTTACAGATGCTTCTGTCTGGACCCTACTCTGTGTGTCTCCTTTTGCTTCGGAGATCTATTTTTTCATGTATGTTCTATAGCTTAGAGTTAACATCTGGGGTTTTGTCACCGTACAGAAATGCTCAAGATTCTTTTTCCCTCGATCAGACTGTCAGCAATTCCTGACTGCCTTTTCTCTGACTTGGGCAGCTTCCTTCCTTCTCTGGGGTCTTGGCTAATGCTTTATTCTCTTCCTTCCGGTACCCTAACTGACTCTGGCACGTGGAGTTTGCCAGTTTCATGAGAACACAATTATGGTAAATACTGAGTTGGTGGTGGTATTTATTTAGCTTGGTGTGTTTTCTAGTTAGTAAAATTTAATAATTTTGATGAATTTTTCCTTTTGGAATTTATCTTAGTTTATTAAGGTATTTGACAAATGCTTTTCTCCATACAGTATTTTTTTTAATGTCCAGTTTAGCTGAAGCATTTCATCTCACGGAAGCACTAATGTCACAGGTAACACAGTATAGGGGAAGACTTAGATTTCCGAGTGCTGAAAATTTTATGTTTACGTATTTCTAATGATTATTTGTTGAAAAGGCACTGCTTTTGTGTAATTCCATGAGTATTATATATGACCTCCACAGTCTATTTAGGAGCATATGCCTAACAAATACAACATTGGCTAGTCCTTTTTTTGTTTGGTTTGTTTCTGGAAGATTTGGAGGTCCTTGTCCCCTGTTTCACTGTCCTATTGTTAAGAGTATTGATCTAGGGCTAGAGATTGAGCTCAGTGGTTCTGCTGCTTGTGTCACAAGCAGAAGGACCTGAGTTCAATCCCTGGTACAAAAAAAAAATGAAAAACGAGTATTGATCTAGGAAAAAAATAGGAAGTAGGTTGAAATTTCTATTTTAGATGATTATGATTTATGTCATTCGGTCATAATGTATGCTATATATATTTCTCATTGGTATGAGTGTCGGTAGTTTACTATAAATTATGAATGATACTTTAAAAATTGATAACATTCAGACAAATAAAATATGAATGTTAAATTCAATATTGATAAATTCAATTTTAATCATTTACTTCATGAAATACTTTAAAACATTTATAGGATAAATTATTCCTTAAAAGGAGTACAGATTGATGAACAATGTGAGAGCTTTGTGTTCAGTGAATTTACATCTGCACAGTTAAACAGTTGTAGTGTTAGTGTGAAGATGGAATAGAGTATGTAGAATTTGATTTCTTTGAATTTTTTAGAATAATTTCTCAAATGGAAATATTATTAAAACTACAGTATAAAATTATTTCAGATTTGTTCCAAGGAACAGTTTGATCTCATTAAATATTCTTTAGAATTCTAGTAGAAAACTTGTCAGGAGGACAAGGAATAGCATATCTGGTGATATTCTTAAAATGATTTTTATGTTTCAATTTACTAAAATGGCTTATTATTAGACATGGAACTATAAGAATGGCTCTTATTTCTAAATGATATATTGTAATCTAATTAAATATACAAAAACTGCAGTAACTTTATTAATATAGATATGCATCAAGCCCAGATATAATCAGTTTTATGAAAAATGGAGTTATGCATTATGAAATATTAGTATACTTAAGTCTCTATCCTAAGAATGTCCCTTTAAGAAACATGTTCTGAGTGCCCTCAAAAATGCAGGAAAAAGCTACTAGCTAAATATGCTTGTAAATGAGTTTTGTTTTTTTTGGTACTGGGACTCAAACTCAGGACCTTGCACTTGTGAGGCAGGCAGCAGATCCAC